ACTTCTCTTCCCAAGAATCATATACCCAATTCTCACTCTCCTGGTACCCATGCTACGCTCTGTTGCCAATTGCAGAGGAGTGATAGTTCTTCTCAGGTCTCCAGTGGTCATGAACTGGAAGAATGAGCTCATCATGGTGTCCAACTTTCACAATTAGTGAAAGTGAGACTAAAAAAACCATTTGGTCGGGCATTTTGCAGAGTGTAACCCATTATAGTGCAAATTTGTGCATTTTAGTGGAGTAACAGCGGCTTCTAATCAATTGGCAGAGACAGCAGTTTTCAGCAGCTCTAATGAACTGTTGTGCTCATTCAGAGAGTTTAGCTGTCACTCACCGAGTAGCCTCTTCAAATCTAGATCCCTCAGTGCAAAGCACATTTGATTGTGTTGTTGCTTTCTTTGGCTAGACTGATAACCTTTGTATGTGTTTGACATAAAAAAAGAGAGAAAGAGAGAGAGGGATGCAAGCAAAATAGAAGGGTAATTAGGTATCTTTCCTCGCACACTCATTCTCACCCTCCCCCATATCTCCCAGGGGGTAGTGGAGACTCGTCAAAGCCCTGTCATGAATTTTTAACATGCCTGTTGGTCTCTTAGGAAGCGTGTGTAGATGTGTGGTTTCTGCATGTGCATGTTCATATACAGTCAGGAAAAAAAAGGGATTTTCACACGTGTTTTTTTTCACACAAAGTCTTATATAATTCATGAATGTCACACTAATGGCTTAAGTATGATGCATCAGGAGTTGAACAGCTGTTGGTTATATGCACGTATCATTTCTGATACAATATTTTGCTGAAGGAGAAACCCAAGGGAACATATGGATAATGTCTATCCATATGTTTTTAGACTACCTTGATTATGTGTTCCTGTATCTTTTTGCACTGATATTATGCAGGCTTATCATTTTATGAGCAATAGCCTGGTTTTCTGTTTATCTGATGAAGCTCAGTTAGTGCACTGGGGTTGATGTGATGCTACACTGTTGACATTTGACAACTCACAAATCTCGCCAGTAGATCAAAAATGCTCTATTTTTTGCATAGCGTATCTGCTGAAGGCATTTATGTCAAACTTAGCCGAGTCAAGTTTCTCTGATAAGTGATGGTCTCATTTCGGGATCTCCCTGTTGCTAAGCAACATTATCAGGGGCACTAATGTCACACTTATCTATGACCTCAAGATGATTTTACAAGTGCATCGGCACAGTTTAGAATCAACTTCCACTGACTGACACATACAGTGGTGTCAAAAAGTGTTTGGCCCCTTCCTGAGTGTTTTGCATATTTGTCACACATAATGTTTCAGATCATCAAACTTATTTTGATAAGATAAGTTACAGTGATGATTTCATTGATTAAGAGAGAAAGGTTATCCTCGTCCTGTTTGAAAAAGTAATTGCCCTTCTTATTAAAATAATGAATTTATTGCAAAAAACTGCATTTTTTGGAAACCTGAGCTCAGTTTCACCAAACACACTCAGCCCTGACTATTGGCAGACCTGTTGAATAAAAAAAACACTTAAATAGAACCTGTTTTATAAAGTGAAGCAGGCTAAAAGATCTCAAAAAGCAACACATTATGACAGGATCAAAAAAAAACAAACACCTGAAAACAGTAAACAGTTAAGTATGGTGGTTGTAGTGTGATGGTCTAGGGCTGTTCTGCTGCCTCAGGACATGGAAGACTTGCTGTGGTAAATGGAACCATGAATTCTGCTGTTTACCAAAACATCCTGAAGGAGAATGTCCGGCCACCTGTTTGTGACCTCAAGCTGAAGCACACTTGGGTTCTACAGCCGGACAATGATCCAAAACAGGAAGTCCACCTCTGAATGTCTTAAGAAAAACAAAATAAAAACTTTGGCGTGTCCTGACCTGAATCCGATTGAGATGCTGTGGCATGACCTTAAAAAGCCAACTCATGCCCGAAAACCCTCCAATGTGGCTGAATTACAACATTTCAGCAAAATACAGTGGGCCACAATTCCTCCACAGCTCTATAAAAGACTCATTGGCAGTTATCACAAACACTTTATTGCAGTTGTTTCTGCTAAGGGTGGCCAAACCAGTTATTAGGTTTAGGGGGGAATCATTTTTTCCACACAGGGCCATGTAGGGTAGGATTTTTTTTTCCCTTAAATAATAAACACCTTAATTTAGAAACTGCATTTTGTGTTTACTCGTGTTATCTTTGTCTAATATTTAAATTTGTTTGGTTCATCTGAAACATTTAAGTGTGACAAACATATAGAAAAACAGGCAATCGGAAAGAGGGCAAAAACTTTTTCACACCACTGTAGAGTCAAAAAGATTCAAAGAACAAGAAATATGAAGCTGGAAATGAGCATAAGTGGCCAACTTTAACATTTTAAAATAAAGTAGAACATGCCGATCTGCAGAGTTAGGCTTCCCTAACCAACACATGGTTTTAAAAATAGCAATGGTTTCAGTACCATGTGGGAATGCTTAAAATAAATAACAAGACACCTCATGTTTATCTGCATTGTGCAACTGCCAGTTGGACATGTTTTCATTTTACTCCAAAAACTGTAACTTTTAACAGAGCTTTTGATTTAGATATGCAGTTGGAATCACTGACAACATCTAAACACTTTAGTGATTGGTGGTAGCAGGGAAGAGTGTCTGACTCTGTTTGACTATGATGCTTGCTACCACTAACTGGTAAATACGATTCAGCACTTAATGCATTGTTAGCATATGCTATTTTTATGTACAATGTACATCAGTCACAATGCTTGTAATCATTTCACATTTTTTTCACTGTTTTGGGTTGGTCAGTGTGTGCGTGTGTATATAGCTGCAGCAGGGTGTATATTTAGCAGCTGACATCCAGTGCATGGGAGCTAGAGAGAGGTCTGGAACAGAGCCCAGGACTGGAGGCCAAAGGAATGGAACTGTTGATCAAAATGGAACGATTGCCGACGGCAGACACAGGGTCACATAAACATACTCGGTAAAAATACCAATTCAAAATAATATAAGCATCTCATCCAAAGATGTGTCCATCTAGCATGCCTGTTATACATGCTTGCACGAGCCAACAGATGGTTGTCAGACAAAGATGCAGCTATAAAAACAGTTTTTCGTAATCATATAAAAACATTTGATTCTAACATGATTTAACTTTGGTGTTGTGAAGGAAGATTCTTTGTCCTGCTCTTTGCTTTCATTTCTTATTGCACTTTTGTTCTAACCTCTTACCTTTTCCATTTCTATGGCACTAGTTATAAAACTTGGAACAAGATGTTTTAAAAATTGATGCAGGCCTCGTGGTTAAATTAGTCCACAAATCAAAGTAAAAATGTAGAAATAAGGTATCTATCACTCTGTCCCCCTTTTTGAGCCATTTTTTCCCTTTTGTTAGCACATTTCTCAGTTCTTCCCTCTTTTCAATTAAAAAAAAGAATTCAGAAGATGAAATTACACTTTGCTAAATTATAATGTAAGCATCACCTGAATTGTATAGCACAACTGGAAAGTAATATCTCAAGATTTTTCAGTATCAGGACATATATATTAAATTGCGACCTTGTGATCATGGATAGATGTTTATTTCTCTGGATGCACATCAGAACTTGTTTGTTCCCAGATGGAAGATGCGCTGTTATTATAGTTTGTACTTGCAAGAAGTAACAAAACAGCATGTATATGTGCAATTGCAGGAGAGATGACTAGATTAAAGGTGAGATTAATTACATTTTCAATTAAATTCAATTGTATGTATATAGTGCCAAATAACAACAGCAGTCACCTTAAGGTGCTTTACACTGTCAGGTAAACACCATATAATAATACAAGTGTGGTTAATTACATTTATATTCCTTTCTTTAATTCCTTTTTGATTGAAAGCTTTTTCAGTGGGTAATTTATTTGTTCTTCACTTTATTCACTGATCCATCATTTCTTCCTGCACTGAACCCAACTTATTTTATTCAGTTAGCTCTATGTTTCACACTCTCTGACTCGCTCACACATTCAGCCACACACCCACCCACACACTACTTTCTTACAGAACAACCTTTTCATTTTGACATTCTGATACTCTGTGGCGTGGCCTTTAGCGGACAGTGAGTGCTGCAAGACCTTGATAGCCCTGTGGTTTGAGCTCTGCAAGTGAGATCATAATCATTTCTCTCTTGTCTCTAGGGTGGTCTCCACTGTGTTTTCTAATGTGCTCTCTTTTGCTCAGGTTTTCTCAAATGAGAGCGATGTTTTGAAGGAAGGACACCCAGTGTATATTCCAGCCTAGGGCTGGGCCATATCATACCGTTCACGGTAATA